ATACACTACATAAAGAGATATCAGGAAAAACATCATACCATCATCTCAATAGATGCAGAAAAAGCTTTTGACAAAATCCATCCATTCATATTAAAAATGCTGACGAAAATAGCTATAAAAGGACATTATCTCAATCTGATAAAAGCCATGAGGACAAGCCAACAGCCAGAATCATACTAAATAGAGAGCAACAAATGAGGAAAAGTTCCTCCAAAAGTCTCCAAGCAAAGTCAAAATATAGCAGCAAAATATACAAAAGTCAGTAGTGTTCTTGTAGACCGGTAACGAACCAATTGAGAAATGAATTAAGAAAACAATCCTGTATTCACAATAACATAAAGAAAACCTAAATACTTAGGACTGACCTAACCAAGGAAATGAAAGACTCTACAGTGAAAAGTACAGTACTCTGAACAAAAGGGATCGAAGGGGACACCAGGAAATGGAAAGAGATCCCACTCCTGGGTAAGCAGGGGTGATGCCATCAAAATGGTCGTACATACAACATTTAATGCAACCTCAATGAAAATGCCAACAGAACTCCTCGCAGCACTAGAGAAAACAATCCTCAAAGTCATGTGGAATCAGAAGACACCTAGAATAGAAAATCCTGGGCAACAAAGACCAAAGCAAGAGACTTCAGCATGCCAGATTTCAAGGTATGTTACAAAGCTACATGGATAGAAAGAGCATGGTAGTGGCATTAGAACAGATCTGTGAATCATTGGAACAGAATAGAAAATGTAGAAACGACCCCACAGGGCCTTGGCACTCAGGAAGCAGGAGGATCCCCACAAGCTCGAGGCCAGCCTGGCCTACACAGTCAGGTCGAGGCCAGCCTGAACTGCATAGTGAGAGCCTGTCTCAAAAAAACAAACACAAACAAAAATAAAAACAACTCCGGACAGCTTCAGCCATCTGATGTTTGACAAAGGAGCCAAAAACATTCTGGAGGAAGATAGAGTCTTTAGCAAATGGGTCTAGGAAAACTGGCTGTCCGTGTGTAGAACATTGAGCCTAGACCTGGGGACATCACCAGGTACTAAACTAAAATGAAAACACACCAGGTATATAAATATTAAAACACAATCACTTAACATGCTAGAGGACAAAATATGTACAATTCTTGAGGTCAGGGTTGTAGGCAAGGACTTGTTGAACAGAACCTAATGACATGAGAAATAACATCAAGAATTCACAAATGGGATCACATCAAATTAAAAAGCTTCTTCACACCCAAACAAACAACAAACAGAGCGCTGAGATACCTACAGGATGGCAAAAAAATTCTGCCACCTATGATGACCAATATCTGGCGTATGTAAACTAAGAAAGAAATTAGATCTCCCAAAATCAAAGATCGAATATGGGCAACTGACAGGAATTGACACGTCCCTGAAGAAGAAAGAAAACCAAAGTATACATAAATTAAAGAGCAGGAGAAAAGATAGATGATAGGAAACAGGAATGGAGACCTTTTGCAAATGAGAAGAGGGCCAAGAAGGGAGGGGAAGGCGAGAGGAGCAGGGAGGCAAAGAGAATCAAGATGTGTCCCGCACAGGTACCATCGACCCATGATGGACACAGTCATTATGTATCAGAAACACGCATGGCTTCTTTAAAAGGTGTCTGTATTTTGCTTCCAACCTGTCCAGGACCTGAGCGGCACCTGTGCTTTCATTCTTAAAGATCTTTTCACTGGTCCTCCTGAGGAAAGAGCAGGTTTATCAACCAAATCGTCATCTTTGGCAGGAGCTGCAGAGCCTGGCCGCCAGGGTTAGCAGTTACCCTTGTGTAGACTTAGGGTACTTTTAGGCCCCATCCCCTCGGATGAGGCAGGGAAGGGAAGAGGCTGTCCTGAAGTGTCTGTGCCAATAACCTCAACTCTCAAGCTAAACACTCACTCAGCAGGACACCCCCAATACCACAGTGCTCAGCCTGAGCTACCGGCTCTGCTCACGCCAGGTCACTGCATGTCCTGTGGGCACCTCAGTTACTGATGCTTCCAGCATAGGCCAGGCCTGCCCTTCTCCTGTCCAGTGCATGCCCATTCCTTGATCACATGTTGCAAAAATACATCACACAAGCAGGCCATAGCATCTGCGTCCTAGCTGGCAACCAAAACAGAACGCTTACATACAAATTCTCTATGCCAAACATCAGAGCTTACTTTGTATTAATTTAAACGACCTTGTTATAGAGTTCAGATTTCATTGGCGCCTTCAGCTTCACTGTTAAACTTGGCAGGCTAAAGGCCCACGTGCTAAAGGTCAACCCAGGGCTGTGCTAGGGGAAGGGGTACAACCTTGAAGAGGTGTGGCCTAGTGAGAGATTTTGCTTCTTTCCATGAGTGGGGTGGTTTCTCTCTGCCACATAGGCCCACCATGATGTGCCGTTTGCCAAGGGCCAAAGCAGTAAGAACAACAGTGTAATGAACCCTGGACAGGAACTTTGCAAACTGAGCCAGTGGATATCGTTTCTATATAACATCATTACCCTACACATTTGCTATATTAGAAAACAGCTAATGAGGTAACCAATTCACATTTCTAAAATTAAACAGAAAAGGAATTGAGAAGGGAACCAAACCGATACGCCACAGAACAAGACACAGGCAATAATGGAGGAAATGAACAAAACTAATAAAGACATAAGACGTGAGAGGCAAAGGTCACAGTAAATAAAAATCAATGGAAAAATACGAAAGTCAAAGTCAGAGATTGAAGAATGGTAACAAAATGGGATCCAGCTCTATGCTGTCAGTGTGCAGGTTAGAGTCTACACTAGGAATAAGTGGAAAGTGAAAGGACAGAAAATACCGAAGAACACACCACTGAACAAATGTAATAGGAGAATTCTAGCCCGAAAATTCAATCATAAATATATTAACCACCAACCAGAGCAATAAAAAAAAGAACTGGAATAAAACTCTAAAGTGGTTAGACCTCAGAGATATCCACTGTGCACCATTCAGGAGCGCCAACATAGGATTTTGTCTCAATTTTACATGAAACATGCCTAAGTCCCATATGTGAGGTCATGCTCAGGATATTGTTGAAATCCCAAGTCATACAAAGTATCTTCTCTGACCACAGGGGTGCAGGACCCAGAAGTTGCACAGTGTTTGAAAGCTTTGACTTCACAGGAAGTATCTTCTCTAAGCAGGTGGAATGACAGGAGATGTTTCTAACCAAGGCACAAGAGGAAAACAAAAGAACTGTGCTGAAACTAAGTAACACACTTGGAAAGGCTGGGCTCCTGGGCTCCTGGGCTCCTGGGCTCCTGGGCTCCTGGGCTCCTGGGCTCCTGGGCTCCTGGGCTCCTGGGCTCCTGGGCTCCTGGGCTCCTGGGCTCCTGGGCTCCTGGGCTCCTGGGCTCCTGGGCTCCTGGGCTCCTGGGCTCCTGGGCTCCTGGGCTCCTGGGCTCCTGGGCTCCTGGGCTCCTGGGCTCCTGGGCTCCTGGGCTCCTGGGCTCCTGGGCTCCTGGGCTCCTGGGCTCCTGGGCTCCTGGGCTCCTGGGCTCCTGGGCTCCTGGGCTCCTGGGCTCCTGGGCTCCTGGGCTCCTGGGCTCCTGGGCTCCTGGGCTCCTGGGCTCCTGGGCTCCTGGGCTCCTGGGCTCCTGGGCTCCTGGGCTCCTGGGCTCCTGGGCTCCTGGGCTCCTGGGCTCCTGGGCTCCTGGGCTCCTGGGCTCCTGGGCTCCTGGGCTCCTGGGCTCCTGGGCTCCTGGGCTCCTGGGCTCCTGGGCTCCTGGGCTCCTGGGCTCCTGGGCTCCTGGGCTCCTGGGCTCCTGGGCTCCTGGGCTCCTGGGCTCCTGGGCTCCTACCATCACTGATGCTGACACTGATAGGAGCCCAGAAGCCCTGAAACCCAGGAGCCCAGGAGAACAGGAGCCCAGGAGCCCAAGATCCCAGGAGCCCAGGAGCCCAGGAGCCCAGGAGCCCAGGAGCCCAGGAGCCCAGGAGCCCAGGAGCCCAGGAGCCCAGGCATGAGTTTGTACTTGGCAAGTCTGCACTGCAGAGGAAAGTCTGCGTGTTCCCTTGTACCACTAGACTGTGCTTTCTTGACTTGTGCCTCAAAGGTGAGGAGTGTTCCCTGGGATGAATCACATAGTCAGAGGTGGCTGGATCCTAGTAGCTGCCCTTCCCTGGTGAGGATGGAGACAGCCAGTGCTGGTTTGTCTGGGCAGTAGCATTCGGAGGAAACTCAGATATTTGTACATAGCTTGTTTATAATATCTACATCTATTTTCCCTACTTTGTCAATTTATTCTATAATTTTAATTATATCGATATGGACTCACGAGTTTTTGTGGTATTGATTTGGTGGCTCACTGAGCAGCAGTGTGTGCAGAGGCCTTGAAGGCCAGCTTCCTCCTACTGTTGCCCCCTTGAGAAGCAGGAAGGCCAAGGTTAGAGGCCGGCTTGGGTGAGTGGTTTGAGGCAGCCTTGCTTCTCACATCCCTGGGTTCCCCATGGTCCTGTCTCCTCACATTGAAGACATGCTCAGTGCCCTAACTGTGGTTATAAGTTCTGGGTGCACCCATATCTTCCCTTGGTTTGGCCCCTTGTTGAACCGGAAGCTGTCACCATCACTAAGCCTGAGCTCTAGCCAGGCTTTACCTTGGATAAGGGCTGAGCTTTACCTTGGAGAAAGGCCATCTGCTGTGCCAGACTTGGGTCAGAGCACTGGGCATGTAGGTGGCTGTGGCAGAGGCAGCTGCGATTGAAGTTCCAGGAGGGAAAAGACACGGGTGACATTAGAAGCTGCCTGGTAGCTGTCCAAGATGCCTGAGGTCGTGTTTGTGAGTCAGGATCGCCAAAGGCTGCCTGTGCTGGGCTACAGGAGGCTGGCTGACCTGAAACAGGGTGTGGGGCCAGGCCTAGAGCTGGAGCTGCCAGGGCCCAGAAACGGAGACCATGGGTAGAGGTGGCTGCTCCGTGCTGCTGCCCATCAGCGGCCCCCAGGGTGGGCAGGGTGCTAGAGGAACACTAAGAGCGCCGTTTATGTGGGGGCGCACCAACGCTCAAGCTCTGTCCTAGCCAGGAACAGGCTGCCCTCTTGCTGCCCCTGGTCCTTGCCACATTCAGCTGTGCAGATGGGAAGGAGATCCCACTGGTGCCAGGGGGAGGTGCCGGAAAAAGAGAATTGTGTGGGGCTGCCACATATGCGGAGGTCGGCCCAAAGCTGGGCCCCACTTGGGGACCAGATCCCATGGCTATGGCTGTGCTGCCACTGGGCGGTGCCACAGTCATCTGTGCAGATGGGAAGGAGTTCCCACTGGTGCCAGCGGGAGCCCCCCGGGAAAGAGGATCAGGTGGAGGTGTGGTATCCATAGGCTCTACACCAGTGTCAGTCCCTGACTGGGGAGCAGAGGATGTGCCTGTGGCTGTACTGCCACTCGGTGGTGCCATAGTCATCTGTGCAGATGAAAAGGAGTTCCCACTGGTGCCAGTGGGTGCACCCCGGGGAAGAGGATCAGGTGGAGGTGTGGTATCCATTGATTCTACACCAGTGTCAGTCCCTGTCTGCGGAGCAGAGGATGTGCCTGTGGCTGTGCTGCCCCTGGGTGGTGCCATAGACATCTGTACAGATGGAAAGGAGTTCCCACTGGTGCCAGCAGGAGCCCCCTGGGGAAGAGGATCAGGTGGAGGTGTGGTATCCATTGGTTCTACACCAGTGTCAGTCCCTGTCTTCAGAGCAGAGGATGTGCCTGTGGCTGTGCTGCCATTGGGTGGTGCCATAGACATCTGTACAGATGGAAAGGAGTTCCCACTGGTGCCAGGAGGAGCCCCCCGGGGAAGAGGATCAGCTGGAGGTGTGGTATCCATAGGTTCTACTCCTGTGTCAGTCCCTGTCTGGGGAGCAGAGGATGTGCCTGTGGCTGTGCTGCCACTGGGCGGTGCCACAGTCACCTGTGCAGAGGGGAAGTAGTTCCCATTGGTGCCAGTGGGAGGCCCAGGAATAAGAGAATTGTGTGGGGGTGTGATATATATAGGTGTTGCCCCAAAGCTGTGCCCCATCTGGGGACCAGAGCCCATGGCTATAGCTGTACTGCCACTGGGCGGTGCCACAGTCATCTGTGTAGATGGGAAGGAGTTCCCACTGGTGCCAGTGGGAGGCCCCGGAGGAGGAGCATTGTGTGGGGGTGTGACGTATATAGAGGACGGCCCAAAGCTGGGCATCACCTGGGGACCAGAGCCCATGGCTATGGATGTACTGCCACTGGGCGGTGCCACACTAATCTGTGTAGATGGGAAGAAGTTCCCACTGGTGTCAGTGGGAGGCCCCGGAAGAGGAGCATTGTGTGGAGGTATGACGTATATGGAGGATGGCCCAAAGCTGGGCACCACTTGGGGACCAGAGCCCATGGCTATGGCTGTACTGCCACTGGGCGGTGCCACAGTCATCTGTGTAGGTGGGAAGGAGTTCCCACTGGTGCCAGTGGGAGGCCCCGGAAGAAGAGCATTGTTGGGAGGTATGACGTATATGGAGGATGGCCCAAAGCTGGGCACCACCTGGGGACCAGAGCCCATGGCTATGGCTGTACTGCCACTGGGCGGTGCCACAGTCATCTGTGAAGATGGGAAGGAGTTCCCACTGGTGCCAGTGGGAGGCCCTGGGAGAGGAGCATTGTGTGGGGGTGTGATGTATATAGAGGACGGCCCAAAGCTGGGCACCATGTGGGGACCAGAGCCCATGGCTATGGATGTACTGCCACTGGGCGGTGCCACAGTCATCTGTGCAGATGGGAAGGAGTTCCCACTGGTGCCAGAGGGAGGCCCCGGAAGAGGAGCATTGTGTGGGGGTGTGACGTATATAGAGGACAGCCCAAAGCTGGGCACCACCTGGGGACCAGAGCCCATGGCTATGGCTGTGCTGCCAAGGGGCAGTGTCACAGTTGGCTGTGCAGAAGGGAGGGAGCTGCCACTGGTGTCAGGGGCCAGAGGCCCAGAAAGGAGAGGATCAGGTGGAGGTGTGATGTCCATTGGAAGCTCTACTCTGTTAGTGTCTGTGTGTACAGCAGAGGCTGTAGCTGTGGCTGGAGATGTCAGTGGGTTCCCAGAGCCCAGGAAGGGCTTCTCCTTTCTGTTCTTACTCTTCCCTGATGGCACAGTGGATGGAGGTCCAGTCCCTGGGGCAGCCAAGGGAGCAGAGCCCAAAGGCTCCATGCATTTGTTATCTTTGGGGGCCTTCTTTCTGTTCTTACCTTTCCCTGCTGGAATGGTGTCTGGAAGAGCAGTCCCTGGGGCAGCCATGGGAGCAGAGCCCAAAGGCTCCATGCATTTGTTATCTTTGGGGGCCTTCTTTCTGTTCTTACCTTTCCCTGCTGAAATGGTGTCTGGAGGAGCAGTCCCTGGGGCAGCCAGGGGAGCAGAGCCTAAAGGTTCCCTGCTTGTCTTCTCTTTGGGGGCCTTCTTTCTGTTCTTAGGTTTCCCTGCTGGAATGGTGTCTGGAGGAGCAGTCCCTGGGGCAGCCAGGGGAGCAGGAGAGAAAAGCACTGAGAGGTCAAAGACCTCAGGGGACTTGTCCTTTTTGTTCTTAACCTTCCCCACTGTATTGGAGTCTGGAAGGTCAGTCTCTGAGGAAGCCAGGGGAGCACAGCAGAAAAGCCCTGAGAGATCAAAGACCTCAGGGGACTTGTCCCTTTTGTTCTTAACCTTCCCCACTGGATTGGTGTCTGGAAGGTCAGTCTCTGAGGAAGCCAGGGGAGCAGAACAGAAAAGCCCTGAGAGGTCAAAGACCTCAAGGGACTTGTCCCTTTTCTTCCTACCCTTCCCTGTTGGAATGGTATCTGGAGGAGCTGTCCGTGGAGTAGCCAGGGGACCAGAGCAGAAAAGCTGTGTGGGGTCAAAGACCTCAGGGGCCTTCTCCCTTTGGTTCTTTCTCTTCCCTGTTGGAATGGTGTGTGGAGGAGCTGTCCCTGGAGTAGCCAGGGGAGCAGAGCAGAAAAGCTGTGTGGGGTCCAAGACCTCAGGGGCATTCTCCCTTTTCTTCTTACCCTTCCCTGTGGGAATGGTGTCTGGAGGAGCTGTCCCTGGAGTAGCCAGGGGAGCAGAGCAGAAAAGCTGTGTGGGGTCAAAGACCTCAGGGGCCTTCTCCCTTTGGTTCTTTCTCTTCCCTGTGGGAATGGTGTGTGGAGGTGCTGTCCCTGGAGTAGCCAGGGGAGCAGAGCAGAAAAGCTGTGTGGGGTCCAAGACCTCAGGGGCCTTCTCCCTTCTGTTCTTTCTCTCCCCTGTTGGAATGGTGTGTGGAGGAGCTGTCCCTGGAGTAGCCAGGGGAGCAGAGCAGAAAAGCTGTGTGGGGTCCAAGACCTCAGGGGCATTCTCCCTTTTCTTCTTACCCTTCCCTGTGGGAATGGTATCTGGAGGAGCTGTCCCTGGAGTAGCCAGGGGAGCAGAGACAAAAAGCTGTGTGGGGTCAAAGACCTCAGGGGCCTTCTCCCTTTTCTTCTTACCTGTCATAACCTTCCCTGTTGGAATGGTGTCTGGAGGAGCTGTCCCTGGGGCAGCCAGGGGAGCAGAGCAGAAAAGCCGTGTGTGGTCAAAGACCTCAGGGGCCTTCTCCCTTTTGTTCTTTCTCTTCCGTGTTGGAATGGTGTGTGGAGGAGCTGTCCCTGGGGCAGCCAGGGGAGCAGAGCAGGAAGGCTCTGTGACATCAAAGATCTTAGGGGCCCTTTCTATTCTTAGGGCCCTCTTTCTGTTCTTACCTTTCCCTGCAGGGATCATGGGTGGATCAGTGCCTGGCAGAGGCTGGGAAGCAGAGCAGGAAGGCTGAGGGCTACTGGTGAGGGTGGAGTCCTGCTGCTTTCTGTGGTTACTCTCCCCCGCAGAGATCAAGGGTTCAGGAGCAGTACCTGTGGCAGGCAGGGGAGGAGGGCAGACAGGCTGTATGGTGCTGCTGATGTCTAGGGCCTGCAACTTACCCATCAGCCTGGCATTCAGAAGTTGGAATGCTGCCTCCTTCTCCTGATCTATGTGCTCCGCAGTGATCTTATAGCTTAGTTCCGGAGGGGGTGGCAGCCTGAGGGGTGGCCCTTGGTGACGCCTCAGGAGAGGGATCTTTCTTCTTCCTAGGCCAGTACCCTCTGGTGTCATCTCGTGTTCCTTTCTGGTTTCTTCATGTCTGGATGGTGTGTCTGCCACCACCTGGTTCCCGGTCTTGCGGGGAACTTGGGGGGCCGAACACGGTTGCTGGAGGCTGTCAGGCCTGGCCGCCTTCAGATCTTTGGTGGAGCCCGGGGGCGGCCTGGTGTGCGAGGGGGCTGCAGCCCTCCTGCGCTGTCCCGGCAGCCCCCCGGTGGAGCTGTAGGAGCTGCTGATGGCATCTCGCTTGGTGGAGCTCACACAGGAGGGCTGGGGGTAGCGGGCAGCTGGAGCTCTGGCGCTCTGCCTGCGGTGGTCTGTGCTCAGAGGCCCAGGCCTGGGGACATAAGGCACCTGGCCTCGCCGGCCTACCACGGGCCTGAAGGCGGACGGGGGCCTCGCAGCCTCCTGGGCGGCCCTCCTCTGCTGAGCCTCCTGCCTCAAGAGCCAAATGCCCGAGCAGTCCCTGCGGGAGGACCTATGGCTGCTGCTGCGGCGTGTCTGAAAATCATCTGCGGGAAGCACTGGCCTCCCCAGAAGAGAGCCTACCTGTTGGCCCATGGGCCCCAAGGGCCCCAAGGGCCGCAAGGGCCTCAAGGGCCTCAAGGGCCAAAAGGGCCTGCAGGTAGGGGAGCAGTGCTCCGGGCACTCTTGCCCAGAGCACTGAGGTCAAGCCCGGGATGCCTGATGCCTGATGCCAGACGTCAGGACTGGATCCGCGGGCACACTGGCTAAGCGGGATGCGCCCACCCAGGGCTCTGGGCAGGTGCCGAGAGGGGACCACAAAGGTGGGCCCTTGGGGCAAGTTCCTGCCCCCGCGGGCAGGGAGCAGGGCTGCAGGGCAAAGCTAGCCCCGCCGCACTGCTCCCCGGAACTATTGGGGAACGGGGGGTACTTCTATCCCACACCTTGGCAGAGCGCACTGCTTGGAGCAGCCAACTGCTCTGCCGCCTGAACCGCAATGCTTTGTTGCTGGGACGCGGCTTCGCAGCTCGAGACCAAAAACCGCCCCGCAGGCGGGTGCTCAGGCCCGCGTGCCCGCGTGCACAAACGGTCAAAAGCCGCGCGGTCTGTTTGCAACATTTTGTAACTTTCCCGGGAGGGCGGTTCCTCTGCCTCTCTGCAGCAAGATGGGGACAGTCGCCCGCGACCCTGAGGATTGCCACTGCTTGCAAACAGGCTGCAGGTTTCCCGCCCTCCTGCCCGGGCTGAGGGGGACAGCTAAGGGGAAATGAGCTGCTGCAGTCCCTTGAGGGCCCTGATGCAGAGCCCTGGGGCTGTCACCTGTGGGTCCTGATCCTAGGAGGAGGGACTAGGGGAGCAGGGTTCCTGCCTGAGCCCCGCCTGGGACACTTGAAAGCTTTGGCATCAGGCTTTTGCATCTTCCTGCTCTTGCCCTGTGTGTGAACTGAAGAGGAGAGTAACCAGCCTCTGGTATCCAAACAGGCAGCATTCCTTTCCTCCTCTTTGATTCCTGAAGTTACACCCTGCCTGTTCCTCCTGCCTTTTACCCTCAACCTGAAGAAAATCCCCTTCGTGTATTTCTGTAGCAAGCTTTCTAGTAACAGATTCTCTTGCCTTTTTCTCCCCTTCTTTAACCTTCCTGTTTATGTTCATTTGGGCCCCAGAACTTACATCACAGGCACACAGGGCCTGGGGGGACCTTTTCTTTCAGCCCTGCAAGGTGTTCTCTCAGTCTCTTGTGGCTGGTGTGTTTTCCATGGGAAGTTTTAAATTGACATTTCCTTGTATTGGACCTGTTATTTTCTCTGAGTATTTTGCAGAATTGTCTTTATGCTTGTGTATTGAGTTGAGCGTGTCTTGGGTGAGACTTTTCCCAGCATCTTAGATGTGTTTTCCATGAATTGTGACCTATCTCCCACTTTTTCCTGTATCTCTCTTGTTCCTCAACTCCTCCTTTACCCATGAGGATGGTAAGATGTTAAAATCGTTTATGTTGCTTTGCATGTCTCTGAGACTCTTAATTGTTTTGTTCTTTTTTCTTTCTCTTTGTTTTTAGATTGGCATTTTAATGCCCCGCAGAGTCTTGGACTCTTGTTCTTTTTCTGATGGAAGCTTATTTATTTCCATTAAATGAATTCCATTGATGTCACATTCCATTCATGTCAAGGGTATTGGCCTCTCTCTCTCTCTCTCTCTCTCTCTCTCTCTCTCTCTATGAGAATGGTTGTTTTTAGTGTTGTAGGGGAAACTGAGCCAACAGTAACCAAGAGCTCAGGAGAAGAAAGGAAATTTAGTGGTCTCCAGGGGAGTCATCCTCAAAGTCTGAGGTGGTGATTGCAGAGAGCTTGTCTTTTTTATAGAGTGGCAAACAGAGGTTGCAGGGAAGAGTTGCAAGCTTTAGCTGAAGGATGTGGTACAATGGCTATCTTGTGGTGAACATAGTTGTGTGTAGCAAAGTTGTCAGCACATTCCCAGAACTTTCAGTTGCATGAAATCATATGATTTAGCTGAGTTCAATGGCTGAGTACAGAATGGCTTTACCTTTCCTGAACAAAGTGTCTATGGTTTGATCAGGCTTTCTGCTTCCATGGTAGGGGTTTTCCATGATCCTTCCTTAATGTGGGTTGTTTCAGGGCTGGATATTGCCCTTTCCCTTGAGGATTGGTCAGATTGTCATAATTTTCTATATGTACTATTGCTTAGTTTTAGATAGTGCCCTGGACAGTTTGCTGGTTGATTTAGGAGACTCTGGTTCCTATTAAAATCCTCAGGCAAGGAATGGTTTCTCTTCTTCTGTTGTTCAGCAACGCTGTCAAGACAGCAGGGTCAGACTGCATCCTGCATTTGCTTTGCAGGGTCCAGGTTGTGCTCAGGCCACAGTGCCCCACCCCCAGCCCCGGTGGTCTACTGGATGCCTGGTGGTTGATAGCTCAGTCACTTCCCAAAGCCTTTGCCTTGCTTCTTTGGAACTATTCTGTGCAAGCCGCTCACTGTGAGTCTAGACTTTGTGCTGCCTCTTACACAGACTTCAATGATTTTTTTCTGCAGCTCTCTCCTCTTTCAAATGCCATTTACATTTTCCTGCTACAAGAGGAGAACTTCCCATGGCAGGTCAACCCTCAGGCCATCAGCAACAGGAAAAGAGTACAAACATAGTGGCAATTTCCCTCATTTTCTTCATACAGCAGAAGTCACTGCCTGTTCCTTTGTGGGCACAGGTCATTTGTTGAGGCTTTAGGTCCCTCTGCCACTCCTGAGGCTGCTGGACAACTTTGCAACCGTTGAGGAAGAAAACCACAAAAGTGGGGTGGGGATGACACTTGCAGCCTCAGATGCATCCCCCATCCCCACCCCGAGCCGAAGTCCACACTTCTCTGGCTACAAACAAGGATTGGGGTCCAGTATTTATTCTTTCAGTGATTACTGGAATTGATTTTCCCTAGACAAAGCTAGAAGACACAGTAGGAGAAATGCAACATTACGGGCTGTTGTTCTCCTTTGGATTCCAGTCCCCAGTTGCCTAGTACTGCATGCTTGCAGCATTTTGAAGTACAGTACGTGCTTTCTGTCTGTGTCTGGTTGTAGTTGTAATTTGTGTGGGAGAGAAGTTATCTGGGGCTTCCCATCTTTCCCTAACAAAGTTCTATGGCTACTAAATTAATTGAAAAGAAATGTATTTGCATTGTTACCTATGATAGAGTTCCCCTTCTTTTAGTGGCAGAATACTTTTGGATTGTAGGAATCGTATGTCCTGGTTTTATCCACTGCAGCAGTAACATTTATATTGCTTCTACATCTTGTTTGTTACGGAAAGTGTTGCTGTGAACATGGGAGTGCAGATCGTTTCACTCCTGGTTTCTGTTGTTTTTGGAGAAGAACCCAGAAAGGTTAGTGAAGTAGACCAATCACAGAAGGACAAATACTACACAATTTTCTTTATATGAGATGCTTAAAATACAGCAACCTTTCAAGGAGGCAGTAGAATGGCGATTTCCAAGGTCTGCAGATGAGGGGTATGTGAGTTGCTGGGCATTAGGTATCAAAGATGTGGGAATTTTGTACTTCTGTTTACAACAGTGCGCCTATAGGCAATAAAATTGTAACAAATGTGCTTAGAAATTTTGTAGAAGTGCAGATTTCTATCTGGAAGATAGAAATTTCTAGTGCTGGACCCTAACATTGTCTATCATAATGAAAAGCAGCCTTAGGCAGTTTTGACTGACAACAAAAGATTTAAGGTTATAAAACTAAAGGATTGATTCCCTGAATAAATATCAAAGTCTACAATCAGGCAATTTCCAAGAAATGAAAGCTAGAATTATTTCACAACAAAGGAATTTAATGAGTATCGCACAAAATGTGTGCATGTAAGTGCACATGAGAGATGTGTATATCTATTTTACTATAATCCTAGTATATTTAGATGTTCTAACTTTCCTATAAATCTAATGTCGCCTGGTTTGTAATTTTCTTTATTGTTCTATAATTTTGTGAGTGGAGGTATTATTGGTAATAAACCAGGAAACAGTCGTGGTTTTGGATGCAGCCTTCCTTGCTATTTCCTTTAGGTGTTTCATTCCTTGACTTAAAGAAACTGAACAGTAGAAGAAAGAACACTGGGTGGCAGATGGGGCCACAATGAAGTACAGGAGGAGGTGTCCCTGGGAAGTCAGCATCAGCCCCAGATCACCCTACGGGCCGCTCTTGGTATGAAATCCGCTTGAATTAGTGATAGGTTTCACTCATGTGGGAGCCTGCCAGACCTCACGTGGTGCCTGCCCAACCTGGTGCTGGACCCTAACATGACAGCGTGTCCCTCTAGTATTGATTTCTGTGTTCTTCTTCTGAGCTCCAGTTGACCTTTTTGCTTTTCGTGCATGTGCCAGCATCTCCCCCATCAGCTGTCAGTAGGTCTTTCTGCCCGCCTCTTCAAACACCATCCCCTGTCCAACCTAATCAAAGCCCCATGGCTTCTTTGTCTGCCTCAGAGGGATCTTGCACTCTTTGGCAGCTCTCCCATGCCCACTGATAAGGCCTTTTTTCTTTTCTGCCTTTGTTTCTCTGCTGAACCAAAAAGCCCCAACAATTAACATGCTCAGTTCTGGAAAAATAACAAGTCTCATCCAGTGCAGGTGAATGCAGTCAAGAACATTGTTTTCATTGCACAGCATTAGTGCTTAAGGAGTGTGAGCAAGGCAGAAGAATATGGTGCATTATATCGTATCTCTCCCTCCTCTTGATATAGAAATAGAAACAAAAGGGCCAGGGATTTAGCTCAGTGGCATGAGTGCCTGCCTGGGAAGCATGAAGTTGTGAGTTCCATCTCCAGGACCAAAAATAAATACAATAAAAAGCAAGAAAGAAAAGAAATAGAAATTCAGTGAACGTGTATCTTAGTGTCCTTCCTCACTTACCAACATTTCTCCAAACAATCTCTGATGTCATGTGTTCTTTCTTGTATGCATTTCGTATTCTGTTAACTAAGAGGTATGCGGAGGGAGGGTCGCACAAGGCTCCCACCCCTCACCCCAGCTGTGGGTGTAGTGGGCAGCTTGTGGATAGTTCTCAGGGCAGGTCTTAATGGAGAGACGCATTCTTGGCAGGGCCTGCAGGGCTTGTTATGACAGGGTGCAGAATGGGACTGTGCCAAGGGAATCGGGCTTCAGGAAAGGGGCCAGGTTTACACTGGTCACAGGTCTCCTTCTAAGGCTACATGCTCAGCCTCTAAAGTCACCTCCAGAAGCCAGGGGAACTTCCTGAGAGCCCTGGGTGAGGGCCAGCAGACTGCTCCTTTGGGAGGTAGGGTCCCCTGGTATTTTCATCTCCAGAGCACATACACGGGACAGTAAGAGCCAGATGCTGTCTTAGTGTACCCTGGGATGCTTCCTGGGGCAGTGGTAGAGCACTTGGAGTCAGTGGAAGGGAGGTGCTCCGTCCACTGGCAAAAATGGTTGGGCTCCCTAAGTGCATCCTCCCTAGTGCAGACTGAAGGAAATGTAGCCTTTCCTTCCCGTGTGATCAATCTGATCATCCTTGACCACTCATGGAAACAGCTGATCTTTTCTCCCTCCCTAGATACTATGTTCCCTTCTCCAGAAATAATATGGTTGGATCATAAGCTCCCAGCCTTGTCATACTGGTTTGTTTTCACTTGGTAATAGACCTTTTTTTTGTAGTCATGCAGTTTTCAACTCTTCCGTGCCTCCCTATCTTGATCTGCCCTGCCCCAGCTCAGCATGTAACACTTCATTTATAGTAGTCACGAAGTAGTGAATGAGTGAGGTACAGAAATAAATGAAGTGGATCGTGTAACACGTGGTCATTTCTTTGATTTTTATTCACAGAGAGAATGAACTCTAAGACAGCAAGAACGATGGTGTGAAACATTGTCTGACAATCTATGAAAACAGTGGTGTGGTTTCTTGGATAAGTGCATTTTGAAGTTTCTGGAGGAAATAAAAACTACATTTTTTATTTTAATGGGTTAGAATGCTCTTTATGTTCTTGGTTTTCATCAAGAAATTCATTGAAAGTAGGGACCGTTTTGCCATGTTTCTGTCTATGTATTTAGGGTTAGTGATATCCAACCAGAAGTACTGTTTGTTTTGTAATCTTGTATGCACTAAGAATAGCCATTATGATCATTTAACAGCAAAGGGATTTGTTTTTTGGTTCTGGGGATCAAACTTCTGACCACCTGCATTCCAGGCAGGCGCTTATACCACCGAGCTAAATCCCCAGGGCTGAAGATCATGTTAATAATTTAACTAAAATGTCTGGGGATTTAGCTCGGTGGTGTAAGCACCTGCCTGTCAAGTGTGAGGTTGTGAGTTTGATCCTCAGTACCAAACAAAACAAAAGAAAACAAAACCACTTGAAAATCCCTTCTTTAATCATTTTTTATTTGATTTTACACTTGTTTCAGGGCGTAGGGAACCACTGGCTCAGTTGTGATCATGTGACATTCAGTGTCAGATACTACTGGTATTGCAAGACATCACCTTTATAAAGTTAAAATTTATTAGAAATGCTTGCTTGTCTTACAAAACATTTGCACAAGTTACTCACAATCTAAGCATATTGAACTCAGATTGTTCACGAGCATCTCCAGTATCAGACTTTTCTTTTCTTCTTCTTCCTCTTCTTATTCTTCTTACCCGTTCTCCTCCTCCTTCTCGTTCTTTGTTTCCTCCCCCCGTGCTTCCCCTGCTTCTTCTTTACTCTGGTTGCCAGTTTCTTAAATACACCCTGTGTGTACCTTATTGTAGAGCTTTTAAAACATTGTTCACATACAGACTTGATAAAAATGTAGTTTATAGAAAACCATCTGCAAAACTGAAATGAAAATAATACACTTACTATAAATATATTAAACTGATAAATTGTTAGGAATCATTTTAATTTAATCCATCATGTGACAATGAAATATTAGGTGGGTTAATTTTCTTTCATGTGGTACCAGATACAGACCTAAAGAAACCACAGTCTGACAGAGTTGCTTATTTTAGAGGTGCAGATTGGCACGCAACACAGGACTTTAACACCATAGTAAAGGTAATAAAGTTTAATTAACTGTGAATCAGCACATGAACTATTCCATTAAAGAAAGAGAAAGTACAGAAGTTACCAAATCGGAAGAGCTTGGATTTCTCTTCTAAATAACTATAAAACACTTGCTTACAATGCTGGCATATAAGCAAATGTAAGTACATCTTCCAAGCCATCACTGCCAACTCTGAGTTCATTTTCTAACTCTTGTTTTCCTGCTTTCACAGGGAGCCCTTTTAAGACCTCCAAAAGTCTCATTAAGATCGTTTCAAATGTGTCTCCTCCTACACTGTCCTTTGCTTATCACTGTTAAGCTGCAGAAAAACCCAGTCTCCATCCCAAGAATTTTTGAGTCTTCCAGCTTTGCCCTGGAGGAGCAGAGAAGGGCGCTCAGCTAGGGATGAATCATTCAAGGTCGTTCAAGCTATGAACGGGGCGCAGCCTCCCGCCCCTCCCTGACATCTTGCTGTATGTTCTGTCCCACCCTGGGCAGTTGTGCTAGTTCTCATCCTGGAGAATCAGGTGGTGCTGCTGCCCCTGCTGGTGTGTACAGATGATTGCACCCCGGGGGCATCTACTGCTGAGCTACATTCCCCACTCCTTTTTCTTTTTATTTAAATTGCCCAGAGGAGCCTGAACTTGTGATCCTCCAGGCTCAGCCTCCTTAGTGCTGGGATTACAGGTGCACAGCACACCTCATGTAAAGGGCTTATTTTGGCTCAGTGCTGTGGAGTTATAGTCGGTCACTGCTTGACCCCAGTGCTTTTGGGCCGATGTTGAAGCGGCACATGATGGGAGGCTGTGACAGGAGAATCACAAGTTCAAGGCCAGCTTGGGGGCACTTCATGACTTAGTTGAACCTCGTCTCAAACTCGAAAATAAAAAAGGGCTGGGGATGTAGTTCAGATGAAACGTGTTAAAAGTATAGTTTAAATTTCTCTTAGAGTATTGCAGGTTAAATGTCTTTTACTATCTTATGTTTGTACTTTTTCTGTGAATTTGCTTATGTGCTTATCCAAGAAAGAAAGAAAGAAAGAAAGAAAGATAGAAAGAAAGAAAAAAAAAAGAAAGAAAGAAAGAAAGAAAAGGCTGACTGAGCTGGCTGTGGAGGCCCATGTTTGTCCACACAATGGGCTGGGCAAGCAGCTCAGTGTGGTGGCCATGGGTCCAAACCTTGGGCCTAGGGATGAAAGAAGCTAAAACTGTCCCTGGAAATTGATGAGGTATTTGCAAACATCATAAGCATACCTTTACCCTGATGAAGCCTCTTGTAAGTAGAAATGAAGGCAACAGTGTATCACACACTGGGACTACAGGCAAGTGTCACAGCACCTGCCTGGCTAGCATGAGGTCCTGAGTTGAATGCTTGGGACAGAAAAAAAATTGTGTATCACTCTTTCTGTAAATACAGAGCTACTGTACCTTTCTAGTAAATGTTAAAAAAAATTAGATAAAGTTAGTGAAGGGATTATTTAACAAAAATCTTGTTAAAATTTTGAAGTGCTTGTATTTTAAAGTTGTTATATTTTGAGTTGTTTTTTGTTTTTATTTTAAACTATAGAACGTCACTTTGGGGTGTAAAGTCAACTGGGCAGCAGATCCAGCACTCAAGGAAACTGTTCTGCAGCTTGAAAAGGCTCTCACCACAGTCTAACAAGAATTCCACTGGACCCGGTGTTGCCATGTGTGCCTTTGATCTCAGCACTCAGGAGGCTGAAACAAGGGGATTGCCACTTGCTGAAGACCAGCAAAGATTTGCACCTTGCAGTTTTTGGATTTTTGTCTCTGTATGTCATTTCAATAGCAAGTTTCAAGTGAAATGAATTTGCGATGTTTGGGGAACTCTCCTAATCTGTAATTGCTTTTTAGCTTCAGTTAACACTCTAACCTAGAATCGGTCATTTTAAATAACAGTAAAGTGACTGTGTACTCTTCAAAGGGGAATGTCTTAGTCATGGAAAAGACCCCTGGTCTGATATCTGAGGAGTAGGCGCAGTTTTGGACATTCACAAGGTCCCAGCATTTAATTGTAATACTTGTGTGCATTTCTGCATTTGTCAGTCACGATGCAGAGAAGTCTCCAGAGTGTCAGCAGTTGGTATAATTCATAGTGGGGTTATGAGTAACTGTCTTCTGTTCTCTCTGTGTCTGTTTCTCCCCTCACACATACTTCTGTGCACACACATACATAATGCTGGCTACACCCTGGCAATACTGATGTACAGTGGCATCCATGCCCATTTTCACTTCTGTTTAGAGACAAGCTCTTGCCAACTTACCAAGGCTGGCTTCAGACTTGGAACCCTCCTGAATAACTGGGATTACAAGCATGTACTGCCATGTCCAGTACAGCTCTTTATTAATTAGAAGCTATTGATCATATTAATGGACAGTGTGAGGTTTTCAGTATTCTTATTGGAATAAAGTGAAACTTGAAAAGATGCACTCATTGGATAATAGCTCATGAAACCTGTTCTTTAGATTAATAACAAAGAGAGATTTTCCTGAGCTCAAACAGTAGGCTTTTCTTTGAAATTCTTATACCTTGTTTTCTTTGAGCAATCTTAATGTATGCATAGTTTTATTCTTTTTGTCAGTTACTGTTTTGAGGTAGAGTCTCACTGTGTCCTTCAGGGCATTCTTGAACTCACTAGTAGCCCAGGCTGTCCTAGAACTTCCTGCAGTCCTCCTGCCTCAGCCTCCTGAGTAGTAAAGTTACAGGCATGCACCACCACACCTGACCTGTTGTTGTCTATATCAATTGTTATGAAGCAACTTACTTTTTGCGTGCAAGTTATTATTTTGGAAAACGGTTTTCTGTTCCAGTACCACACAGGAACTGTTTGTTTGTTGTAGTACTGGGCATTGAACCCAGAGCCATTGTGCTAAGCTCTCTTCAGCCATTTTTTTTTAAATTTGTTGTTTTGAGATAGGATCTCATCAAGTTGCTGAGTTGCCCAGGCTGGGCTGAAACTTGATCCTCCTGCCTCAGCCCCTAGAAAACTGGCATTCCAGCAGTGCACTACCACAGTCACTTGACACTGTTTAGTAAATTTCAACCTGTGGACCACCTGAAAAAGTGTATCTTCATATACTAAAACAGGTATATGTTTATCTGGGACCTTAGTGGTCTTTGACTTACCTGTTACCCAGCTCTGAGAGAGGAAGTGCGTAGGCTTTGCCTGAACTGTTGCTGAATACGGAACTCACAGCTCACTGTTTTAGGACATTTACTTCTGTGTGGGTTTGGGGTTCAAGCGCCCACTCTAGGACTCCATTTGAGGGAGCAGCCACTCTGCAGAAGGCAGGGGCTCCTTAGATCAAGTCAAGTGCATTTCACAAGCAGAATGTAATCCTCTGCTTGGGGAAGGCAGCCATAGTCCCAACCCCACATCACAGAGGCCTTGGCTTTTCTCCAAGCAAGTGAATGCTGCATTTCAGAGTCAGGAAAAGGAAATGGGAATTTGCTACAAATGACACGATCGACCTTATTCAGCTTTGCTCCATAAATAGACACCAAGACTAGGGAGGTGCCAGCAGTCCTAGTGACTTGGGAAGCTAGGGCAGGACTGCTTCAGCCATGGAGGTCAAATCCAGCCTGGGAAATACTGGAGACCTAATGTCTGGCTTATAACCACATCCACAAAAAGACACCCCTCTCCAGGAAGTAAGCCAACAGCACAGCCTCTCCTGGTGTTATTTCAAGCTTCAAGAAAGCTCTCTCTCTCCTCTCTCTCTCTGTCTGTCTGTCTGTCTGTCTGACTCACTCTTTCTCTCTCTCTGTTTCTCTCCCCTGTGTCTCTGTCTCTCTGTCTCTGTGTCTCTCTCTGTCTCTGTCTCTGTCTCTCTCTCTCTCCCCCTCCCTAATCCCGTTGCAGGCGGTCTCCTTATGTAACTGGCCTAGAACTCACAGGGATCCTCATGCCTCCGCCTCCCAAGTGCTGGAGTTACAGGTGTGCTTTACCACACAGATTGTCTTGTTCTTCAATTGTTCTTCGCTTCAGTATCAGGGACTGATAACCTGGCTCATAGGCTGTTTTAGTATATGAAGTTTTACCACAACAATGCCATGCCAGTATGTTCACATGTTAACTCGGCTTGCTTTCTTGCTATGATAAAATAGTGTAACCTAATGAAGTAACTGTAATAGTGACCCAAAGGTGGCTGCAATATGCTTTTCCATAGGATAAGGTGTTGTGAAAAACAGGTTACCAGCCCTGTGGGAGCTGGCTTATGTTTGAGGGACAGCAAAGAAATACCAGCATGGCCCTCTCTCAAGGGCTCAGGGCTTTGCATGGGAATTGAAGAGAGGATTGTCGCTACCTTTAGTCAGGGTTGCTTTGCGAATAGTGACCTCCATGCTGTTGTGCCCACGTGTGTTTTTCTGCTCCTTTTCCTGTCATAAGGCCTCACAAACCTTGGTGGTACATGGGGTGGCAGTTCTGCCTCCCTCATTTTTGCCTTGACACGTGCCCAGGCATCCTGGGGCTGGACCTAGTAATCCTCAGGTTTTCCTTCACAATGGATTGAAAAAATCTAATTGTGCTATAGAAAGTTTATTTTGAATTACCTGAATTATTCTTAATTGTTTATGTGATTCGTTTCACTACTGAATTACTACACCCTACATGTTAGATCCAAACATTTTATTAAAATATTTTTTATCAAGAGACCTCAGCCTGGACTAGGTACCTCCTGTCGCATCACCCACTGTGCTCTGGCCTGACTTCCAGCCAGCATTGGGGATGGAGTCACTGGCCGAGCAGAGGAAGGGCGAGGACAAGGAAGGTGGTGACACTCCGGGCACACAGGCCGAAGGTGGGCATAGGAGTGGAACAGGCAGGTGCATGCACTAGGTCCTAGTCAGTCCTGGTGTGCACCCTGCCACCCAGGGATCAGTGGGTACGGATGGCGCATCCCATGCCTTGTAAGCAGACACAGTGAAGATGAGGACGGACAGACTGAGCACTAATGGTGAATCATTGAGTGACCTGGTAGCAGTCTCTGGGCAGACTCTACCTGTGGGAAGTGAAGATAGAATTCCTGCTTTTGCTTCAGAAGCATTTACCATCCTCATCCTGTGGAAAAGTCATCTGCAAGGAGCCTGCATTGGGAATTCCGTGAAGTAGAATCAGTGCCAGCGCTCTCCTGGCAGGGTCCCTGAAATGGTCCATTCGGATGTGATTGGGACTGTGTTTCACTGAACACTCTCTTATGCCTCCTGTGTGACTGTGTTTTGCTTAGTTTATATTTTTATTGGTATGTGATCACAGTACATAATGATTCTATTCATCAGAGGCAGTTGGTGGATATGCATGATAGATTTTTCCTCGATGTGGTAGAAAAACAAGAGTAAAGAAAGACAAAAACAAAAAGGCCTTTATTGCTGGCATGGGAGGGCTGCAGAGGGGTGCAAGATCCCTTCAGGGCAGACAAAGAAACCTGGAGCTTTTATTCAGTTTGAGAGGGGTGGAGTTCGATGGGGTGGGCAGAGTGACATTTTGACAGTTACTTGAGGGATTGTTGATGTGTGCACAGCAAGTGGGAAGTTCACTTTTTGGGTTTGCAAGAAGAATGTGGAAGTCAGTTTTGAAGTGAGGTACGGTCCAGTGCCATGCTGGGCAGGCAGCATGCTGAGCCTGGCAGTGCTCCACAGAGCGGGATCCATTATTCCCATCTTTTGGGTGTTAGAGGCAGCCACTCTTTAACTGCTTCCTGCTGACTGAGGTGACATGATGGGCATTGAAGTAGTCATTGTGATGACAGGTTGGACCCATGTAGAATCTGGTACCAGGGGTCCCCTCAGGACAAGGAATTATCTTGTTATAAAGGCCCATAACCTGGATTTGAGGAAATCTTCAGGAAAGTTTAAACAGACAAGGAGCTATAATCAAGAAATAACAAGTAGTATGAGAGGTCCTGCCAGGGGAAGAAGCTAGGAGGAAAGTGTTCCCTTTTCTATAATAGCAGCAGTTAGACATTTTTGCAGATATTATTGTAATGTATTGTTTTTTTAAAATTTTATTTAAAAGGAAAAAGAGAAAAACACAAAACAAAACAAAGCCGTGTAAGGGTACAAGTAATACAGAACTACAAAAAAAAAAAAAAAAAAAGTAAGAAATCACCAGTTAATAGATTACATATTATCATCTTAGAGATAGTTGCTCAAATCACAGTATCAAAGCATACAAAGTGGACATTCAAACAGTGAGACTGCAAACAGTTGTGTTCAATGATCCAACCAAAAACATTAATATGGCCAGCTATTTAACACCCCTAAACACATTTGCTGTTGTATCCTTTAGAGCTCTTTTTTTCCCTCTCTTTTTTACAACAAAATTTACACATTTTGGGTTTTATTACTCCTTAGTTCTTATTACTTTTTGGGGGGGGAGAAAATAAAGTCAAATATGGCAAAACAGAGCTGTCGGTCAAAACCAAGGATAGACATAGCACATGATGTAAAACAGAGTACAAGGTTATCAACAATGTCTCTTGTTTCCTTAAAAAGAATTGTCTATCTCATTAGATATTATAAAGTTGAACAAAACACTAGAGAACAAGACCAATAAAACTTAAGCATTGTACACATTACAGGACTTCCAAAGGAGACAATAGTCAAACCAGAATGGGCATCTTAGTGAATCTTATTGCCTTCAAAGTAGTTGCCTATACCCTCAAACTTGATACTATCATACAGAATGGAACAGAGTCTAAACAGCCAAAACAAGGTAGTGGGAGTATCACAGGACTTCAAAACAAGTTAATAGGAAATCAAAAAAAGTTACTATTATATATCCTGCTATTTTTTAAAATTTTCCCCTTAATTAAAACAAACATAAGAAATAACTAAATAATTTTTTTAAAGAATAAGGGAGAGATTGAGATGAAACAGGACATAACAATATAACAATACAGGTCAAAGCATGACTGTTTCAGCAACCTAGTGCTTCACCACCAAATAACCCGACTTAATAGTAGTTACCATAGTGTCTGTCTTTTTCCTTGAAATATTTGAATAAAACTTCATATACTATAGCTTCAAATATTTCCATATCAAGAAGCCCAGAATATAGCCTTTCCAATTAATAAGTGAAAACCTTATAAGGCTTCAAGGCCACATAATGGGGAATCATGATTACCACATATTTTTATATATTTGAATCATTACTTACATTAGGGAAACTATTCGGTATTCACACAAGCGAGATTGGTTTATTTCACTTATGAGTATGGTCTCAAGCTGCGCCCATTTATTGATAAATATCTCAATGTGATCCTTCTTTATAGCTGAATAATACTCCATTGTATAGAAATACCACAACTTTTTTATCCATTCCTCAGTTGATGGACACTTGGGTTGTTTGCAAGATCTGGCGATTACAAATTGTGCTGCTATAAACATAGGTGTGCATATATCACTGTGGTATGATGCTTTCAATTCTTCTGGGAATATGCCTAGAAGTGGAATAGCTGGAATAAATGGGACTTCCAATCCCAGCTTTTTGAGAAATCTCCAGACTGACCTCCACAAAGGCTGCACCAGTCTACACTCCCACCAACAGTGCAGGAGAGTTCCTTTTTCCCCACAGCCTCTCCAGCATTTGTTATTGTTGGTTTTCTTGATCCTGGCCATTCTTTCAAGAGTGAGATGGTATCTCAGTGTGGTTTTAATTTGCATTTCTCTAATGACCAATGATGATGAACATTTTTTCATGTATTTATTTGCCATTTGCATTTCCTCATCTGAGAAGTGTGTATTCATCTCAGATGCCCATTTTTGGATTGGATCTTTGAATTTTGGGGGTCTGAGTTTTTAAAATTCTTTATATGTTTTAGACAAGAGTCCCTTGTCTGAGAGAGAGTTCACTAAAATCTTTTCCCAGTTTGTGGGTTTTCTTTTCACTATGCTGGAGATTTCTTTTGACATGCAGAAACTTTTTAATAAGAAGTGGTCCCAGTTATTGATTCTGGGAAGTATTTCCTGTGCGGTTTGAGTCCTGTTCATGAATTCTCTACCTACTCCTATGTCTTCAAGGTTTCTACCCAATTTGTCTTCCAATAGATTTAGTGTTTCTGTTTTAATATTCAGATCTCTGACCCATTTAGATTTTAATTTAGTATATGGTGATAGACATGGTTCTAGCTTTAGTTTTCGGCAAATGGAGAGCCAGTTTTTCCAGCACCATTTATGAAAGAGATTGTTGTTCTTCCAGTGAACCTCTTGGCTTCTTTATCAAAGATAAGGTGGTTGAGTGTGTTTGTAGTTGTGGTTGTATCTTCTAATCTATTCCATTGATCTTTGGCTCTGTTTTGATTCCAATACCATGTTGATTTTACTACTCTTGCTTTGTAGTATAACTTCAAGTCAGGGATTGTGATGCCTCCTGCTTCGTCTTTGCTGCTTAGAATTGCCTTTGCTATTCTAGGTCTCTTTTGGTTCCAGATGAAATTTAGGAGTGATTTCTCTAGATCTATAAGGTATGTTGATGGTATTTTTATTGGGACTGCATTGAATCTGTATAACAGTTTTGGGAGAATGGCCATTTTCACAATGTTTGTTCTTCCTATCCATGAGCAAGGGATGTCTTTCCATTTTCTGAGATCATCTTCAATTTCATTTTTTGGTGTATTATAATTTTCACTGTATAAGTCTTTCACTTCTTTCATAAGAGTAATTCCTAAATATTTCATTTTTTTGCTTGCTAATGTGAAGAGTGCAGTTTCTCTTACTTCCCTCTCTGTGATTTTGTTGTTCATGTATAGGAATGCTATTGATTTCTGAGTATTGATTTTGTATCCAGCCACATTACTGAATTTATTTATTGTATCTAAGAGTCTTTCCATGGAGTTTAGGGGGTCTTCTATGTAGAGTATCATGTCATCTGCAAACAATGATAATTTAAATTCTTCTTTTCCTATCTTTACCCTTTTTATTTCTCTCTCTTGCCTAATTGCTCTGGCTAATACTTCCAGTACTATATTAAATAGGAGTGGTGATAAAGGACATCCTTGTCTTGTGCCTTATTTTAAAGTAAAGGCTTTCAATTTTTGGCCATTTAGTATGATGCTGGCTGTTGGTTTGTCATAAATGGCCTTTATTATATTGAGGCAAAGACCATCTATTCCAATTTTCTGTAAAGTTCTTATCATGAATAAATGTTGGACCTTATCTAAGGCTTTTTCTGCATCTATAGAAATGATCATGTGATTCTTATTTTTGGCTTTATTGATATGGTGGATTACATTTATTGATTTACATATGTTGAACCATCCTTGCATTCCTGGGATGAATCCCACTTGGTCATGGTGTATAATCTTCTTGATGATTTGCTGCATCCTGTTTGCCAATATTTTATTGAGGATGTTTGCATCTGTGTTCATTAGGGAGATCGGTCTATAGTTCTCTTTTTTAGTTGGGTCTTTCTCAGGTTTTGGTACTAGAGTAATATTTGCTTCCAGGAATGACTTAGGAAGGATTGCTTCCCTTTCAATTTCATTGAATAGTTTGAGGAGTGTTGGCATTAGGTCTTCTTTGAATTTCTTGTAGAATTCTGCAGTGAATCCATCTGAGCCTGGGCTCTTCTTGGTGGGTAAGGACTTAATTACATTTTCAATTTCATTAACAGAGATTGGGTTATTCAACAGTTTTACATCCTCTTGATCTAGCTTTGGTACTTCATATGTTTCTAAGAATCTGTCTATTTCTTCTGTGTTATCAAACTTTTGAGAGTAGAGGTTTTTGAAATAGGTGTTGGTCTTCTGTATTTCTATTGGGTCTGTAGTGATTTCACCTTTTTCATTTCTTATTGCATGAATTTGAGCTTTTTCTTCCCTTTTTAAAATAAGGTTGGCTAGGGGCTTATCGATTTTATTTATTCTTTCAAAGAACCAACTCTTTGATTCGTTGATTCTTTGGATTGTTTTTTTGGTCTCTATTGCATTGATTTCTGCTCTGATTTTTATAATTTCCTCTCTTCTTTTGGCTTTGGGCTTGACTTGCTCTTCTTTTTCTAGCTGTTTGAGGTGTAGCATCAAGTTATTTATTTTTATTTGTTCTGTTTTCCTGATGTGGGAACTCAGTGCAATAAATTTTCCTCTGAGGACGGCTTTCATTGCATCCCACAAATTCCAGTAAGTTGTATCTGCATTTTCATTTTCTTTTAGGTATTGTTTAATTTCTTCTCTAATTTCTTCTGTGACCCATTGATTATTCAAGAGTGTGTTATTCAGTTTCCATGTGTTTGCGGGATTTTTGCAGTATCTTTTATCATTAATTTCTAATTTCAGAGCGCAATGATCCGATAACATGCAAGGGATGATTTCAACTCTTTTGCATTTGTTTAAGTATGTTCTGTGAGCTGATATATGGTCTATTTTAGAGAATGATCCATGTACTGCTGAGAAGAATGTGTATTCTGATGTTGTTGGGTGGAGCATTCTGTATATGTCTATCAAATCCATTTATTCGCAGGTGTGATTCAATTCTGTTATTTCTTTGCTCATTTTCTGTCTGGTTGATCTGTCCCTTGGTGTCAATGGCGTATTAAGGTCTCCTGTTACAATTGTGTTACTGATAATTTGAGTTTTCATTTCTGTTAATAGTTGTTTTATATAACTGGGTGCTCTGGAGTTTGGTGCATATATATTTAAGATAGTTATCTCTTCCTCTTTGAGTTTTCCCCTTACAAGTATGGAGTGACCTTCTTTGTCCTTTATGGTCATTGTTGGTTTA